TCCGGCCGCATAAAATTAAAAGCAAGATTAGATACAATTTTAAACAGGACCTTGTTTTTCATTTTAGAAGTCATATGACCACATATCAAGCACCGACAACTCATGCCTCAGGTGCCATCAGATTTGCAGTTTTCGTTGTGTTGCTTTTCCGAGCAAACAAATTGGGGTTAAGGTGAAGTTTTACGTGACCGTCTTGTTTTTCTGCACACTCAAATCCACAGTAAATCATATACCTAAGCTACCAAAAGATATGTTTGTCACGTAGACAATGTAAACTTGGCTTTTTCACATGAAGTAGCTAATAATCAGGTGGAAGTTGAAACACACAGAAATGAAAAGACCTCACAGCCGGAGCAAAATAACTGCGAGCGAACTAACGGTACTTCATGTTACTTAAAATTGTACGTGTTTTCTAAGCTATGGTGGCCCCAAATTTATTAGGCATTGCCCCGTACTATTCTGAGGGTTTTCGGCGACAGTTTTCAGATGTCTTGGAATTAAAAAAGCGGTGTCAAATCAACCTAGTCTAAACGACAAGAATGTGGTACATAGGAGTAAACATGTTTTGTTGCGCATGTTTTCCCGGTTTCCAACTTCAGGTTGACCTGTCAGCAATAAAATACGCAACATGTCTGAAAGCATCCACTAACACGTATAATGCACATACAAACTGCGATGAGAAACTACACAACTGCCCTAGTCTGTGAAATTTGGCATGTACTTTGCAATCGGTAAATGCCCCTTGTTCTCTTGAATAGGATCAAGTAAACAGGGCAGACTTCGGAAGTAGTTAAACCTAATCAAAATAGCAAGACCGGTTTTGCGTAATTATCATGAAAGCGGATTTTTACAATGTGGAGCAAACTCAGGTGACAATGCTGGTTATATTTCCGTCAAGCAGCAAGACAGCCTAGATAAAGTCATTTACCAAATCGCATCGATAACGCGAGTGTAACAACAACACCAACAACATAGTGTCTGGCTCAACACTGCACGTTAGCTCCATTACGCAACGTGCTTCATCATATCTCACTCCATGCTCTTCCGGCGCACAATTTTTATATCCCACCGAAAGCAGGAGCACTACACGATCGCATTGGGACAGACATCATTCGGGGAACAATCATGACATTACCCGAGGGATGAGAGCATGCACGACGTCGTATAAATATGACCTCTCTTCCTCATACATTGAAACCCCGGTAGGCGCACAAAATCGCTACTTGAATCAACAGTAAAGTAACATGCAAGCTAAAGTGAAATAGCCTATTAATTTCAGAGATGTCGCTTCTCGGGTTTTAGATAGTCGAAGTCGTGGTTTCCGGTACCGGAATATTACTAGTCAGCCCACTTAAAGCAACTCAAATGCAACCGTTGTAACCTAAGACCTTACTGCCGTATACTCAGGACCACATCTTGACGTATAACACATTTTTAGAGTGGCAGACAGAGGTATATTCCACGAGCATGATACGACATGATACTTGAATCAGGTAGCTTGTGGAATACTGTTTTGTAAGTGATCTAGTCAATTCCAAGGTTTATGCTACCAAATCAGAACAGGAACAGTGAGGCCCTAGAAAACCACTGAATAAATGCATTCTTCTGATAGTTCGCATCAGCAGCGCTGATTATGGCATCTTTCGGTACAGTATATATTTATACAGGCGAATAAAACGAGCGTGCAACATGTATCTGAGGTTAGCTCATTCTGCATTATCCGATCGGGAGCTGTTATGTGCCTCCTCAAGGTGTACATTAGGAAAATCTCACTGGGTTTGAGTGATAAGCAACCCGTTTGGTGTGCCACGAAGACTGAGATATCTAACCCTGAGAAACGAGGCGTAGATTTTATACTAGGTATAAGTTAACGTGAGCTAAAAAGCTCACCAGATAGGGCACTAGGAACTCCTAGTAATTATTCGCAAAAACACGATTCGAGCTTAGGGCGCACAAACAAGTTATGCCTGCCTTGTGAACACTTTCCATGCGATGGACACCTGAGACCTTCAGGGACTCAACGATCAAAAGTGACGCATACTACAAATAGGTAAATTCTGACAGTCGTGAAATAAAAACAGCCTCGGCGCAGTAACCATTGGACCTAAAGTGACCCGACATTTGTGCTGTCAGTTTGCTCAAGCCCATGCGGAAGACATGAAAAAGCTCGGACAGGATTCAGAGCAAAGTATTCTAAGTTACAAACTTCCTGGTCACCAGCTTTAACATAGCGAAATACACTCATTCGCAAATTAATTTGGTTTCGCGGAAGGCTCAGCCGGAACCCAGCTGAGTCTTTCGTTTACGGTGTTTGTAAGCAACTTAATGTGCTGTACTAGATCGCTTCGTACTTCGGTTGGTGTGGTATTTGAGATGGCACGGTACATGTATATGCGCAATACACTTCTCATAAGGTTTCATAAACTCTTCAGCAGCCCAAAACTGGTTTCGTTGCTCTCGGAGCTAATCAGGTAATAGCAGTTCTCAAGTTTCGGTCAACATTATGTTCTACTTGAACCCAAATTGTAACAAATTAGCGAAATACATTCATTTTCAAACCAACTCGGTTTCGCTGGAGACTCATGTGGAATGCAACTGAATCTCTTGTTCAGCTGTAGTATTATTTCGGCACTTAGCTGCTTTCCAAGCCTAGACAAGAGAGGTCGAGAGGTACGGGTCGGGTTCAAAACCCGTACCTTCCACTCAGTTAATTCAAGCTTCATGAACCAAGTCATCTCGCCCTCAAATTTTGGAATACAAACAAGGGGAAAAGAAGGTTGCGCAAGTCTTAACTAACTAGAGAATTTTCAGATTAATGAGGATTTTTGCACCAAGTTACGATGACGACCGTCCAAAGGGCTAAAATGGGTAAGATCAGCGACGAGTTATGTCCGCCTATGCATCCGCTTACGCTCTTAACACGATGAACCGCTGGACAATGCCTTTGAGTTTAATGTTTCCTGTAGGGAGAATAATCTCGTGTCTAATGCAAAACAAGAAATAAGTGGAAGCATCAGTTGAATTTTAATAGTTCCCTTGTCTAAAAACCTGCGGTCAAAACATCCAATAATGAGACGCTGGTAAAATAATGGTATTATGGTGCTTTCTAGCTGCACGATAGAACACTTGAATATCTGATGCTTTGAAGATATTTTTGACGATCATGAAGGTTTATAACCACAATATTGAACTAACCATCATGGCTAATTTGTCGTTTAACGTGGTAATTAGGTGCAGATGTTCGGTGCAACACCGTGTAAACATTTTGAATAAACCATGGTTCAGGTCATTGTCAGGGTCAAAGGAGGTGAATGGGGCATAGAGTACTACAAATCCCGACCAAGATCTCACGAAGAAAAAAATTTTTTGGATTAGGACGACAGTTCACCAAGCAACAGACATTAGAAACTTGACCGTGCGCTTGTGCGCTTTCGTGCAAATATGTAAGTGCCTATCACCAATAGTTGTACTGTGAAAATCACTAGGAAGTGCATCCTGGAGTTTATTCACTGGCAATACTGGCATTATCATTCCTTCCAAACAAAGGCCCTCAAATAACTATTCGTGATTAGAAACTTCCCTTAAAAAATTAAAGTCATAGTCTTGCAGCTTAGTGATTGCATGTGGATGAAAGCAATTTTCAGCTTGCGATTAGACTACTTTATTCCTTGAGGTGGATCTCTTTGAGGAATGTGTATTTTTAGTAGTGTAAAAAGTACAAATCACAGCCCTTTCTGGAATTCTTTTGACAGACCGAACTAGGATCCCAAAATAGAAATGTAAACATAGACTGTGCAGGAATCACTTAACCCAGATACAGTTCAGTGATTTGAACACAAGTGAAGCTTTGAATGTATGCTGCACGAACTGTGGGCTCGCGCAAAGTGTAATGTCCTCATTTATTGCCTCAGCTAATTGCGTCTTCCCGTCCTCTTGTAGTTCCATATCTATTTGGAAAACTGCGTCAAAAGCGCAGGAGCATGTGGCTATGTTTTTTTAATTTGAGCTGGCTTTATGTACCACGAGCATAAACTGACGCCCTCCCTCCTTTTTACATTTTTTTATTTGGCTTTCTTACTGCAAACAGTCGCGAACAACAAAAATTTAAAATTCAGCATTTGTTAATTTCGGCCTGAGGACATAATTACGCAAAAACGTAAATATTTCAGGAACGATTCCCTCATGCCGTAGTAACTCCGCGAGTGCTGCTAGAGCACGAATTGATTCGAAAGAACAATGAGCGATACAACGTAATTTACAAGATGAAGAGTGAATTTCCCATGATACTTTGCCTGATTACTTAGTCAATTATGCCACCTTGTATAATGACTTGCGTTAGTGTCTTTCCGAAACGTACAACAAAGCTGTGGAATTTCGTATAGATATGACAAACATGCATGATGAACCAAAAAAACAGGTGTGTAGCGACAAGAGACCCAGTTGTACTGAAGAGTGATTAGTGTTTTGGTGACTTCAAATAATTAAGATTTGTTTCGTAAGACGTTCACGAAGGAAGGTTTCTGAGTTGATACACCAACCAAGCCCTTGTTGGCCAAAAACTAATTAGTCAGCCCGCAGGATTAATCTACCAAGTTGATCTATTGTTCTCGTTGGCCTGATCTAATCAAGACAACTGTTATTGTTTCATTCTGTCTGGTAGTCATCTCAGTCGTCTTCAGATACGTCGACCAACTGCTCTAAAAATCATGTAAATCCTTTCATCTAATTACTACTTGAAAACGTTGTTGAAAAAGTTACGAACACTTCAGAAAAAGTATTCTTTGTTAACACAAACATCACTTCTAAATAATCATCAGATCATGAGTCTGCTAACTATCAGCTGAAATATACATCAGCAACTTCTATTTGACACAGTGTAAAAGCAATAAATCTTTATTATTCGGACCTAAATTTTCAAAAGGAGTCCTGCACACAGGAATTCAGAACAGTACTGATTTTAGAGAAAAAAAGCAAGAAAACGGTTGTATAAGTGAACTCACGGTGCTAGCATTCGGCGTTGCATGTTTCGCAAGCTTTCTCATGTCTGTTGTCCTCTGAGTGAGGATAAATGTTGACACCAGGCAGCCAGCCCCAAAAGCGAAACAGCCGAGGAGGATGAACGAATCGCGCAACGCAAATGCCGGAGAAGTTTTTGCGATCACGAAGGCAAAGACTGAACTGGATTCGTAAGCACCGTTCAGACCAGAGATTATCATCCCCCTCCACACAGGAAAGACGGATGCAACGTGAAGATTACACAGCACGCTGGCGTAAGCTCCAACGGCTCCGAATATCATGGCCGGGAAAATCAGGTAGGAGGTGCCACCACGTACAAATGCAAACATTAGACATCCGATGAAGTATAGTGAGACCCCAACCAATTTTGTAATTCGTAGACCAATCTGGTCCATCAGAATTCCAGACACGGGAGCAGAACACATTTGAAAGCAGAGCGCAGTAATGTAGGCATAGCCAAACATCTGTTCCGCTTTGATGCAATCATTTTCGTCACACAGTTCACCAAATGTCCCTATTTCAATGTAGGACTGTATAAGTGCATTAAACCCGGAGAAGAAGGTGCTGAAGAAAAAAGTCTCTAGTAACGTCGCGAACAGAGATATCCATCTTCTTTTTCGCCCTCCCCAGAGCCCGTCTAGGCTTCGAGCTATTGTGAGAGAAAAAAGGATGAGAATATATGCAGAAGGGTGTCTGTCACACAAAAGCATCTTTAACAAAGTGAGAAACCCTTCCGTCAAGTGAGTGTATTCTTCACTTATAATTTCTATCAATAAAACGCACAATCTACAAACTGGTGCGCCAGTTTGATTGCAACCAAAATTATCAGAAAACACTCGTTGATCACTTATATTCTGACGGTTTTTGTCGACCTTAAATTATGGAACTGGCCAGAATTTTCAGTTACTTTAGCATAAAGTGTGGGAATATTCAATAAGTTAAAACCAACTGCTTTCTTTAAATCCTGAAATGACCGAAACCGTCATATCATCAGATTGGATGCAAGATAGCATTTCCTTTCAACTTGGTCATATCCTGATATGTTTACTCGGGTTTGTTCAACTTTTGCGTGAGCGGAACCTGACTAGCTTACCACGATTCGACGGGCTTGGGGTTAGCTCGAGAGATATGTTGACTTGACTGATGGTCTTACTGGGATCATCTCAGGCGGCTGAATATACACATTGCAGTCACGAGAACGAAGAAGGTAGCGAACAAAGCTTGTTTTCTGTGATTGTTCATCTTGGCTAATACATCACAAATTTATATGGTAGCAGAAA